TTTTTTTATTTCATTTCACAAGAGATAAACATTTTTACCTTGAAGTGGAACTATCCAAATCTCAGTTTCTTATTATAAGATGCAGTATCTAATGATTTGGTGCCGTTTGAAGTATCTTCAGCCTTTTCTCATCTGATGAATTTTTCTTCCCTTTCCAGTCACTATAAAGTGTTACAACTTTAATTTAGACACAACACATAAATAGTAATTGGAAAGGTACTGCCATTGCATGTGTAATGCAAATATATTTAAAAAAAAATAATGTAAGAGTTGAAATTGATACAACTATCCATAAGCCAATTGATCAAAGAACGAAGATTTGCATAATTACAGAATGCATATATGCCTGGTTCGGGTTTAAAAATAAACGACTGTTTAAATACAAAACATGAGAAGCGACAGTAAACAGTAAAAATCGATTTGTACCATCGACATGATGAAATTATGAGGTCGTCAAGAAATGAACTTTGTGATAATTTACTCGTTCCCCAAACCTGAAATAATCCCATCGTCTACTTTCAAAATGCTTTTTAAATGAATGGGACCGTCTTTAACCTAAAATATATGCCATACTGAACGTTTCAGCTTGTTTATGGTGAGTAAACCTGCGTCTTATAAACAACTGTTTACTTTCAGTTTGAGTTTATCGTTACTTACGATCTAAAAACTAGAGACGTTCCGAAATCCTGTTTTGTAAACAAAGATTCATTGTGCAAATCTTTGTTATTTGGTCAATTGGCTTATGGATAGTTGAATCAATTTCAACTCTTACATTATTTTTTTTTTTTAAATATATTTGCATTACACATGCAATGGCAGTATTATTATATTGTGTGGTGAAGGATATTATATATATTCAACTCCATTGGAGGTGTGCCTACATTGGCAGAATTCATCTCGATACAGATACAGATACGCACCGCGTGGTTATAACCGTATTACTAATTTCCGATTTTTAAAATCTTCGTAAATCTGGATAAAGACCAGTTTCTATCCAATGGATATCAAAATGATTCCGATTTTCACTTTTTTTAATGATTGTAAATTTGAAATGGCATGAAAGGCTGACATTATTTAGAAGAACTATTTTGTCTAGCGATTGCTGGTCATTGGAGGGTAAAAAGTCCAACACCATAACAAAACGGATCTATTTATCATGTATACATACCGATTGTTTACGATTGTAAGACATGTGCATAAAAGTGAAAGCTCGAAAAAATATGAAAAATATAACAAAGGGATAGCTCCAAATACCATTTAATAACAAAAAACATATGGACAGGTCAAGATATCTTTTTGGTAAATAAAATAAAGTATGTAAACTGGTTCCCGTCCGACTACAACACTTTGTTCGAGTGTAGCGTAATACAAGCAGATTCCAGTTAGTATGTAAAATAGTAAATATGAAACCGAGTGCGGTAGGCGGAGGCAATAATCGACTTCCGTAAGTTCTGGTCAATGGTATCGGAAACATGCCGCTGATAGCGTCATTTTCCAAAAAATGTGCTTCACCGAGCGCAGCTGGATACAACAGCAGAGGTCCAACTCTAAACAGTAAGGGCAACTAGAGGCTCTAAAGAGCCTGTGTCGCTCACCTTGGTCTTTGTGCATATTAAACAAAGGACACAGATGGATTCATGACAAAATTGTGTTTTGGTGATGGTGATGTGTTTGTAGATCTTACTTTACTGAACATTCTTGCTGCTTACAATTATCTCTATCTATAATGAACTTGGCCCAGTAGTTACAGTGGAAAATATTTTGTAAAAATTTACAAAAATTTACAAAATTTATGAAAATTGTAAAACATTGACTATAAAGGGCAATAACTCCTTAAGGGGTCAATTGACAATTTTAGTCGTGTTGACTTATTTGTAGGTCTTACTTTGCTGTACATTATTGCTGTTTACAGTTTATCTCTATCTATAATAATATTCAAGATAATAACCAAAAGCTGCAAAATTTTCTTAAAATTACCAATTCAGGGGCAGCAACCCAACAACGTGTAGCCTGATTGGTCTGAAAATTTCAGAGCAGATAGATCTTGACCTAATGAACATTTTTATCCTGTCAGATTTTCTCTAAATGCTTTGGTTTCAGTGATATGAGCCAAAAACTGCATTTTACCCTATGTACTATTTTTTAGCCATGTCGGCCATCTTGGTTCGCGGGCGGGGTCATAGGACACATTTTTTAAACAAGATACCCTAATGATGATTGTGGACAAGTTTGGTTAAATTTGTCTAAGTAGTTTCAGGAGAAGATTTTTGTAAAAGATTACAAAAATCTATGAAAAATGGTTAAAAATTGACTATCAAGGGCAATTACTCCTTAAGGGGTCAACTGACCATTTTGGTCAAGTCGACTTATTTGTAGATCTTACTTTGCTGAACATTATTGCTGTTTACAGTTTATCTTTATCTATAATAATATTCAAGATAATAACAAAAAACGACAAAATTTCCTTAAAATTACCAATTCAGGGGCAGCAACCCAACAACAGGTTGTCAGATTCATCTGACAATTTCAGGGCAGATAGATCTTGACCTGATTAACAATTTTACCCCATGTCAGATTTGCTCTAAATGCTTTGGTTTCAGAGATATAAGCCAAAATCTACATTTTACCCCTATGTTCTATTTTTAGCCATGGCGGCCATCTTGGTTGGTTGGCCGGGTCACCGGACACATTTTTTAAACTAGATACCCCAATGATGATTATGGCCAAGTTTGGTCAAATTTGGCCCAGTAGTTTCAGAGGAGAAGATTTTTGTAAAAGTTTACGGACGACGGACGCCAAGTGATGAGAAAAGCTCACTTGGCCCTTTGGGCCAGGTGAGCTAAAAATGGATACAATATTCAAGCTTGATACAGGTCTGAATTTGGATTGTAATTAAATATTTGACACATTATTATATTATACATGTAGGTTTCCGACACAGAATAAATGTAGTCATAGAACTTGAAATTGGTTACATGATTTGAAATTATATTCAATTTAAGATTTCTTGCTGTTGCAATACAATTTGCTGTTGTGCAATACTAACTTAGTAAATCTGTTTTCAGACTATATACAAAGAATTAGCAAAATAAATTGTGACCCCCAATTTTTTTGGGGGAAAATTGATAATTTCTTAAATCTTAAGGAAAAAAAATTTACCCCCCCCTTTTCCAAAAAATAGTATATTTGAAGATATTTTCTTTTTGTAAAATGTGGTACAATTTCAGAGCAATCAAAATACTTAAACACAAGTTATTGTCCTGAAACTAGAAAAATGCTTGTTTTGGGCCCCTTTTTGGCCCCTAATTCCTAAAACTGTTGGGACCATCACCCCCAAAACAATCCCAAACCTTCCTTTTGTGGTATTGAACCTTTTGCTTAAATTTCATAGAGATCCATACACTTAAACTAAAGTTATTGTCCGGAAACTAAATGTCTTCGGCAACGACGACGTAATAGCAATATACGAACACCAATCTTTTGTGGTTGTATAAAAATCTAGATTGAAATCCCCACCCCAATGCAAAAAGTTTTATGCACAATACATTGTTTGAACAAGGCCCCCAGATACATTGTAGCTTCAACTGGTTTGAAAAGTTGTTTAATTTTAGAACTTATCAGGATAGGAATAAATAGCAATAAAGTATTTTAACCACCAGGTGACATGATAAGCTGTCAATCAAAACAAAAAATCAATAATCCGCTATCAGGACAACGAAATCTCAACAGACCAATCAGTACCATCCCTGTTGGTACAATGTATAATAGTCCCAGCTGCAGCATACAAAGAAAATGTAATAATCTTGAGGGTTTAGCAGTCAAGCGTATAACTCTTTAAGGTTATTAGAGAAAATATCATACATGTGTTATTACAGATACTTTCATGAGTTGTCTACTCTTTATTTTTTAAATTTTCTTAATCTGCAGTAACATATATGTTTGTTATTTCTTAAATATTAATAGTACATATTTTAATATTTAGTGGGCACTTGGGAATTCTTAAAACTTTGCACAGTAACTTAAAACATAGCCTTGATAACTAATTTTCCAATTAAATTAATACATTTTTTACATGTTTTATCAGCCTTGGTAAATCAATGAGACAAGGCTTTTAAGGGATAAACTTAGCTGTAATAACAAGGCTTAGTTATTACAGGCATGTCACTTATTATATGAGACACTTGGGTATTACTTGGAAGCTTGCGCAGAACCTCATTAGATGCTGACAGCTCTGATCATTATTTCTTCTAATAAATTAAAATACATTGTGATTAAGCATGATATTTGTCTGAGCAAAGGCTTTGAAGTGATGCACTCATGTAGAGATGCTGTAATAACACCCTTTAGTTATTACAGGCATATACTTTCTGTAATATCATAGGTGTGCTATGCATGATTGGAAAACTATGAACTGTTATATCTTTCCATAGTTTAAAATTTAGAATGGAAATGGGGAATGTGTCAAAGAGACAACAACCCTCCCAAGAGCATAAAACATCCCAAGGCCACCAATGGGTCTTCAACACAGCGAGAAAATCCTGCACCTATAGTATACATAAAGGACAATAATAATATTGAAATAGAACTTGTACATGTTGTATACATTATAACAAAACAAAAGATGTACAGTATATTGCCCCTTTGAAACATGTAACATACATATGTTATCACAGTTTTTGGATTTTTTAGTTCACAATAACAAATGAATGTTATTTTTCTCTAATAACCCTATACAGTTATACCCTTGACTGTTTAGTATGATTGAACTGAGACTACTATAACACATAGTCTCAGACTCAGGATTGAACAATGTTTTCCTTGTCTGCCTGAAAAATATAAGTTGGAACAAATTATACCAGGTGACTTGGAACGAATTGGTTAGTACGAATCGGAGTTGGCACGAATCATCAGATACGAATGACTTCCTTGGTGAGAACATGATGAAGAAAAGTTAAAGGAATGACAATTTTAATCTATTATACATGTATATTTATACTCACTGGCTTCGATGAAACACTTGAACATTTGATTCTCCTCTGTTGTATATATGCTCTCTGGAATCAACAATTTGCGGGCAAGATCCAAATAGACACTTCTAATCCACACATGTACAGGGAAGGTTTTTCCTTTAACATATTCAACCGTTGCGTCGCTGAAAGACCACGGCCCCGTGCCGTTGCAATTACGTAAAATAAGGTGATCAAACTCTTGTTTTACATAATCAAAGACAAATCTGCGAAAACATTTTGTAAATTTCTCCTTAAATTGATTAATCAAGTCTGTCGACATCGTTAATCTATCCTGGCATCCTAATCAAACCTTATTTCCCGCCATATGTCAACATGGTCAAGGTCAAGCGGTCTCACTAATTAGCGACAAGAAGAATTTTAGCGACAAGAAGCGACAAGAAGCGACAAGATGAATATATTTAGCGACAAGAAGCGACAAGAACACTATTTAGCGACAAGAAAACATTTTTAGCTCACCGGGACCCGAAGGGCCCCATGTGAGCTTATGCCATCACTTGGCGTCCGTCGTCGTTCGTCGTCGTCTGTCGTCGTAAACTATTTCAAAAATCTTCTCCTCTGAAACTACTGGGCCAAATACCTTCAAACTTTAACTAAATGTTCCTTAGGGTATCTAGTTTATAAATTGTATCCGAAGTTTTGATCCATCGACAAACATGGCCGCCATGGCTAAAAATAGAACATAGGGGTCAAATGCAGTTTTTGGCTTATATCTCAAAAACTAAAGCTTTTAGAGCAAATCTGAAATGGGATTAAATTGTTCAATTGGTCAAGATCTATCAGCTCTAAAATTTTCAGACGAATCGAACATCCCATTGTTGGGTTGCTGCCACCGAATTGGTAGTTTTAACAAAATTTTGCAGTTTTTTTGTTATAATCGGAATATTATTATAGATATATATAAACTGTAAGCAGCAATATTGTTCAGCAAAGTAAGATCTACAAAAAAGTTAATATGACCATAATTGTCAATTGACCCCTTAAGGAGTTATTGTCCTTTAAAGACAATTTTACACAATTTGTTCATCAAGTTTGCTAACATTTAAAAATCTTCTCCTCTGAAACTACTGGGCTAATTACCTTCAAACTTTAACTAAATGTTCCTTAGGGTATCTTGTTTATAAATTGTATCCGAAGTTTGTATCCATCGACAAACATGGCCGCCATGGCTAAAAATAGAACATAAGGGTCAAATGCAGTTTTTGGCTTATATCTCAAAAACTAAATCTTTTTAGAGCAAATGTGACGGGGTAAAATTGTTTAATTGGTCAAGATCTATCTGCCCTGAAATTATCAGACGAATCGAACAACCCATTGTTGGGTTGCTGCCACCGAATTGGTAGTTTTAACAAAATTTTGCAGTTTTTTGTTTTTATTTTGAATATTATTATAGATATATATAAACTGTATGCAGCAATAATGTTCAGCAAAGTAAGATCTACAAAAAAGTTAATATGACTATAATTTTCAATTGACCCCTTAAGGAGTTATTGCCCTTTAAAGACAATTTTACACAATTTGTTCATCAAGTTTGCTAACATTTAAAAATCTTCTCCTCTGAAATACAGGTAAGCGATTGTTTTTTTATTAAGATTACTTGCTCCAAATAAATATTAAAAGAATATGCAAAAGGAAACAATTTTAGCGACAAGAAAGTTAATATTCTACCAATACATAGATAGAAAAAGTCATTTTTATAGTAATAAAGCATCACAATTTTTTTTTAACATAGATCTAATTGCTACATTTATTTGTGATATTTTATTATTTATTATGGATTACAGCAAGTATTACGTTTACCCTGTCGTATTATGATATTAATTTTACGTGTGTTTAAGAACAATAATATATTTATCTTATAATTTGTTTTTAAAACTCTCTTTGTACAATATATAATAAACTTGCAAAATGCATTATTTGTGCATCATTGTCCAGAAAATACAGACACAAATTGTGAAATACAAAGAACTGAAATCAAACAAGAGGAAAACATAATTAAAATGTGAATATTTTTCATTATTTTATTTTGTATATTGCCTCATTTAACGATATTTATCATGTTTATGCATAGTTTAATGTTGATTGAAGATTATTCATACTCTGACTTTGATGAAAACAGTACATACATTATCTTAAACATATTCTTTATATTTAATAAAAGCTACACGATCCCTTTCTTCCTTACAAATGTTTAATTTCTTCATCTATCAATATCAGAGACATATATACACATATATGTGTATATATATGTCTCTGTCAATATAATAAAAAAAAATATCAATTTATTTCTGCCCATATATTAAAAAAAAAGTAAATGCATATTTTTTAATATTTATTTGGAATAAGTAATCTTAATAAAAAAAAATGTTTTCTTGTCGCTTCTTGTCGCTAAATTATTCTTCTTGTCGCTTCTTGTCGCTTCTTGACGCTTCTTGTCGCTAATTAGTGAGAACCAGGTCAAGAAATGATGCTATCGCACGGAAGCAAGACAACTCGCCCCACTTTCTTCTAACTCCCCTACTCTTGTTTACCAACTCGCCCCACTATTGAAAAGGACTTATAGTTAATTCCTGCTTAATTTAGGCCTGTCAACACGCACCACTAACGAAAAGAAGTCATATCTCGCTTAATTTAAGCCTGCCATCTCACCCCACTTATGAAAAAAAAAAAATCTTTCCATAAGTGGGGCGAGTTGGCAGACCTTTATTCACCTGATTAGACTTTTTTTCATTATTATGGGGTGAGTTGGTAGGCCTACATTCAGCGGGAATCAAACGATTTCATTCGTTTTGCATAAGTGGGGCGAGTTGGCAGACCTTAAGTTAATTCATCGGAATTAAACTACCGTTTTCAATAGTGGGGCGAGTTGGTAGGCATACAATCATCGGGATTTACCCTTTTTTCATGAGTGGGGCGAGTTGGTAAATGGTAAAAATAAATTAGAAAACCATTGTGGAATCAAAATCTATAACAACTAAGTGGAACAATGTTTGCACGTCAAAAAATGACCGAGTATGTAACTTGCAAACAGGGTACCTTAAAACAACACTCACGTAAAAATATGTTGATAATCGCAAAGATTTTGAAAGGCTTGCACAACAACCTATGCCTCAATATTGGTACCGCTGCCAGGAAGAACTATAGATAGTTAATATTAATGACAATGATCCAAATTTACTTGTGACAGTTTTGGCGTCGAATTGGTAAAAATTGTATAGGTAACGAGAGACATGCATATTCCGTAAAGTTACTCTAGATGACAATTTAGAATCTTTTTTAAGTAAATGGAAAAACAGTTTTCACATTTTCTTAAACCCAAATGTAAATACAGAGTGGAGTAAGGTTGAACATTCCGATTTAAAAAAAAACATTTTCTGTATTGATTTAGATAATGAAATTACTAAAATGAGGTTCATAAAGTTGTAAGGGATGCAAAAACTTGTAAAAGTGCTAGTATTGACCTTTTTCAAGCTGAGCTATGCAAGAATGTTTTGGTTATTTCTATTTTACATAAAACTATTTAACTTATGTTTCATTTACAGTTCTGGAAATGTACCAAAATATGTGGAATAATTAAGGGAATTATAACCTCAATACCAAAATGTTCCACATCAGATCCTAGAGATCCTTTATCTTATATATATTTATAGTTCTATAGCTCCATTTGCATACAAGATTTATTGTAGCATTTTAAATGCAAGATTAGTCAAACTGTACGATACTATATGTTATGATCAGTTATCAGTTATGGTGTATGTATTTGGGGAACCAGGGACTTTTACCGAATAAATCGGCAATCCAAAACAAGGCCATGAGATTTTTCATGGGGTTGGTGAATACACATCGAATAATGCCATAGCTGGTGATGTGGAGTGGAAACCACGACGTGTTTAAAAATGGACAAGTGTCATGAGACATTAGGGCAAGTTGTTCCATAATGGACCGACATAGAATAATCTTTTTACTTTTTTTTCAAACAAAATATCCCCGAATTAACTCCTTTCAAAAATTCACAAAAACCCAAGTTTAGCACGAATTTAACATGCGAACTTTTGTATAGAAATAAAGTAAGAACTCACTAATTTGCATAGAATTTTAACTCGTGCTCCAAATTAAAAGTAAAACACCTACAAATTGTAAAGCAAATCACCACGGTAGGTATAGTGTCCGGCTGGATTCGTGTTTTTGTTCGAGTGATTTGATCGGGTTTTTTTCGAGTGTGACCACTTTTTTCGAGTGAATATGATCAAAAATATAAACAGACAGACTTCTTTTCTGGTAAGACGTAAAAAGATTTTGGAACCTTATATTTAATATCATAGAAGGTAAATTAGTACATTATTTTGTTTTAAAAGCGTTTAATTTAGCCTTACAATGCTTTATTCAAAAATATAGATTAAAGCCATTTTTATACCAGACCAATGCAAATGTCAACGGAAATGCTTACATGGAATATATATATATATAGATATAGGAAGATGTGGTATGAGTGCCAATGAGACAACTCTCCATCCAAGTTACAATTTATAAAAGTAAACCATTATAGGTCAAGGTACGGCCTTCAACACGGAGCATTGGCTCACACCGAACAGCAAGCTATAAAGGGCCCAAAAAAATTACTAGTGTAAAACCATTCAAACGGAAAAACCAACGGTCTAATCTATATAAAAACGAGAAACGAGAAACACGTATGGACTACATAAACAGACGACAACTACTGTAATCAGATTCCTGACTTAGGACAGGTGCAAACATTTGCAGCGGGATTAAACGTTTTAATGATATGAAACCTTCTCCTTAGATATACAGACAATATACACAAATTCTGGTTTTTACATTGAAAAGCACATTTTTGAGAGTAAATTCATTTTATATGTCGGTGTGTTTTCGAGAGCAGTCCGTGTTTTTTTCGAGTGCGTCCTTGTTTTATCGAGCGAGAAAACAAAATTCCTATGGCTTAAATGTGATATGTCAGTGCATTTGCGTTTAAAACACAATGAAAAGGTTCAAATAAAGTACTTTTCAAAGCACGAAACAATGCAATAAACCAGTTTGATAATGCTGTTTTAACACGTACATTTCATAAAAATGAATAGAAATATAGCCACTTAGGTCCGCTTCCGACCGGCAGTAAAACCCTTGCCAAAGTGGGGCGTCCGTTTGGCTGTGCGGGATGTTCAAGTACGCAGCCACGTCCGGTCAGAATCTGGCGTGAAGAGAATGCCACGCTCACTGCACGTCAAGAACCCTTGCAACAGCTCTTTGGGGTCAGTAGGTGGCCTGTTACAAGGCAAAATTTCAGTCTATATCCAATATAC